AAAGAGGGGAAAATTGGACGATTTTGGGGAAAATTGCACCTGCAAATGACCGGCATTGGGCTATTTATATTGTGTTCAAAACCAGATTCTAACAGGTGAAACCGGACTTAAGGGTGGTGTGGGGGGTATTTTGACAAACCCGTGTAGTTTAGAGGGTGGTTTGCAAAAAAATAAAGTTCATATGGTGATGCGCCATTTTCGCGAAAGTTCAGATGGGAAAAAGTTTTTTTCCCTAAAAAAAAAAATTTAATATATAATATATAAAAGATCGATTTAAAAAAATATTATCAATAACCCGAAGGATTTCAATCTTTTTTATTTAATTTTTGATTGCTTCTGTCAAAAAATACAAATTCGTAAACATAGTTCAAAACTAGTTATGTAGTAAATAAATTGAACAATACTAAAAAAAAATCTTTATCTATATATATATATATATATATATATATATATAAAAGTTTGATTATTTTTTAAATAGTAACTATTTACCGCCAAAAAAATGTTATTTACTAATTCTGGAAACTTTTAAATATTTTATGTTATGTTTTAAAATGCAATTTAGGTAATTGGGATGATTAATTAAAGTAATATATCACATAAAAATTTCTTTTGTATCTCAAAAGACTATATCATATACTTGTACATATATATCATATATATGTACCTAAAATATCAAGATCTATCACATTTCTAACAAACATTAAATTTACTTATATATTTTTAAATTAATCACATCAGTAAATAATATTAACATACATTAAATATTTACAATTATATAAAAAAAATATTACTTCTATAAATGGTATAAATAATATTGATATTATACGCTAATAAATTTTTTAACAGAGTAATATTTGAGTATTACGATGAACCAAAATATGTAAAATTCTTATTTTTTTGTATTAAAAAATAAATACATATGTTAAAATGTTATTTATATTAATATAAACGGATCAACGGGCTAATACATTACTAATCCCGATTCTCACTAGTAATAAAAAAAATAAAGTTTTACAAAAATATTTTACATTAGGAAATCTCGATTCTCACTAGTAATAAGAGCATCTGCAAGAGCCTCCCTATTTCTCTTTTTATCTCAAAAATAGGGATTTTCTCTCAAAAACTGTCTCCAACAGTTCCCCTAAACTTGGTCCTATTTTTAGGGTGACCTCAAATAGAGGCTTCTCTTCTTCATTTATGGGGAGGGAAAAACGACCCCCCATTTCAAATAATAATAATAATAATAATAATAATAATAATAATAATAATAATAATAATAATAATAATAATAATAATAATTTAAAAAGAAATAATATTATATTAATACATGAAAAAATATAACAAATAATTAATAATAAATTACTAATAACAATAATTAAAATTAAAAAATAAAAAAAAAAAAATTGTTCAAAAAAATAATTTATTTGATTAAAAATTAATAAATTATAATAACAATTAGTATAATAATAATAATAATCTAAAAAGAAATAATATTATATTAATAAAGGAAAAATTATAAAAAATAATTAATAATAAATTACTAATTATAATAATTAAAAAAATTAGTGAATATTATAAAATTAGTTAATTACTATTATAATTGTTAACAATTACAATATCAAGTGGGCTTCAAGTGGGCTTTTAGATAGATTTGTGGGCCTGGTTCATATTCAAATTATAAAATAGGAAGACTCTTGGAGAACAATAGAAAATAGGAAGCAAATGGATATAGGATTACTCCTTATTTCTCCAAATAAGAAGTTTAAAATAAGAAGTGAGATTCTCTAATAACTCAAAGTTATATTTATTCATTTACTTCACCATTTTTATTTATTATATAGTTTAGGACTCCCACAGTACGTTCGGCCTTTCATGCCTCAACACCATATCCAAAAACCCTAAACCATCAGTACAGTAAGTGGCGATGGGAAAAGGGAAGAATGCGAAGACCGGAGATGAAAGCCACAACTCCCCGTCCACAGTCTTTGTTGCTAATCTGCCTTTTTCCTTCACGAATGCTCAGGCATGTTTTTATTTTCAGTGTGTGTTTTGTGCGTATGTGATTCCATACTCGAGTGAGTAAATCTGCATATTTTAGCTCAATCATGATTGTTTGTGTATCATATAATTATTATTATTATCGGGGTTAAATGCAAATGAGTTATGAACATTTCAGATGGAAGAGGCTTTCAGCGAGATTGGACCCATAAGAAGGTGCTTTATGGTTACAAAGAAGGGTAGGATTACATAAGCTGTTTTTAGGGAAATGTCATAATAGTGTTTTCTCATGGAGTGTATTCGTTTAAATCATGTTTTAAGCGGGTTTATGGTTTTGCTATTTTTCATGTGTTAGGTTCCACCGAACACCGAGGCTTTGGTTATGTTCAATTGTAAGTGTACTTTGCATTGCCAATAGCGCCATATGTATTTTGCATACAATGATATCCCTAATGCTGGATTTCAAACATGAACGTAGTGCCTCTATTGCGGATGCAAATCGTGCAATTGAACTGAAAAATGGCTCTGTTATTGGAGGTAGAAAGGTTGTTGTGAAACAAGCCATGCATCGTGCTCCACTTGAACAGCGCCGAGCAAAAGGAAATCAAGGTCTGTTTGTGTCATTTTAGTCACCCTGTGCATATGAGTACCCCCCTGCAATATGCGTGAACATAAGTTAATGTGCCGTCAAAGTTACTCTATGCATTTCCTTTAGGCTTCTTCCTGTTACTTGCTAAGTTTTGGATATTTATTATTTGGTGGTTCAATCCTTAGAAGCTGGCCAGACGGAGAATGAGAAGTCTGTCAAACCTGAAGTAACAGACAGAATCCGGAAGGCTCCAAATTCTCAGGCGAAAGGTTCTAACTTCTAGATGACTGAACTATTCATGCTCTTACATTTGGTTTTCGGGCGTACCTTAATTATGATAAATTGGAAAATTAAATAGGTGAAGTAGTGGAAAAGAGAATTGGAATGGCTATTTCCAATGATGGTGTTGCAGAAAAACAAAGGTAATTATTTTGGTTGTCATATCTGTCAATATTCTAATAACATTTGTTAAACCATGTTGGTTACGGATTTTTTTTTCTCCATATGTACATGTCCAGTATTATGATGATAGTTTGGCCATCATGAATTCCAGACATTTTATTTCTCCCACTTACTAATCTGTTTTTAGCTTGATATGTTATTTTGGAATAAACATGGCACATCAAGAAACCTGAAGTTTTTGTTTTGGTGCGTATGTTGATGCTTTCAGCATATGTTCATCACAAACTATTGCAAATACATTCGACTTAATGTAAATTGCGCTTGTGCTTCCACGGAACATTTTTGTTCATAATTGTGATGTTTATTCTTTATGTGCACATTTGTTCCTCTTTCTACTATTCAATTGTGGCTTAAGAGTTGTTCTGGGTTAAGTGCTTGAATTAGGAAACTAATGATCTTTATGCTTTAGAAATTTTACTTTAGTTTGAATAGTCAGCTTGAGTGACTTTCTGCAGAACACATCGCTATTAAGTTATTAACTATTCGGATTTTACTTCTCGCCTAATATTTTCCTCTTAGACTACGATGGCATACCTTAATTGGTTTAATCATGATTAGGGCATTCTATTGAAGTTCAGATTTATGATCAGTGAGTAAGTCCACATTAGATGAATTGGGGTGCAGGACTGCTCATAACTATAGAATATCTTGCAGCAGCGCAGCTGATAACGGTTAGATTCCGTTACTTCAGGAATTGGGATTTATGAAATACTAAGCTTCAATGTATTATGCTGGCCATTATGTAATTTGACATCTGAGAATAAGTTGTTCTGGAATGTTGATGAATTATGATCCCATAGGTTTTCCGTCGTATTGTGTATTTGTTTTATATTCAGTTCTGACATAACTTGTATATAATTTAACAGGGTTGCTAAGACAGTCGTATTTGGTGGTCTTCTTGGTGTTGATATGGCTGAGGAAGTTCATGGTCTTGCGAGGAAGTTTGGTTCTGTATACTCTGTCACTTATCCTCTTCCAGAAGGAGACTTGAAACATCACGGTAAAAAAATTGGACAATTTCGTCTGTAAACTAATAATTGTTTAAGAAAAATGTGATTGATTGAAGATCTCTGTTTTCTTTTTGTTCTTCCTTCTGTAACCAAAGTATTTTAATCTACGAAGCTTCAGTTGGCGATGATAATAAAATTCTAAGAAGTAGCGTTAGTATAAGGCTACTCTATGCTCGAGATACATTTTTTTATTCATAAACTATATCGATAATATGCCATTATGCCTTAGGTAGACATCTGAGTTCATGGAATTACATAGTTAATGTTTTTTTCTGCCTGGTATCATTTTTTATTAACTCTGGGGCTCTTGTAATGCCTAGTGTACTCATCCATTTGCATTGCAGATAACCATTTTAGACGTCTTCAGATCTCTCCCGCTCCACACCAATTTTCTTTTCCACATCTTTTCCATTAATTAATTTTAAACCATTTTTTTTTAGTATGAAAGCCATAGTAGGAGTTCATTGATTCTGCTTCTTTCTTAATATGCTCTTGAAAATTTGATTCTTCTACATGGTATATGTGCTTTGATTTGTTGATTTTATTATTTTTTTTTTCCCAGGGCTAGCTCAAGATGGTTGCACAATGGATGCTTCTTACGTACTATTTACAAGTGTAAAATCAGCCCGTGAATGTGTTGCAGCCCTACACCAGAAAGAGATACATGGGGGAACTGTTTGGGCACGACAGCTTGGTGGAGAGGTGATATATGTTTTCTTATCCCTTAGCTTTTTCATGCATAAGTAGAACTTCGTTACTGTAGCTCTAAATATTTTTAATATTATAATTTTTAATTTATATTTATTTCTTTTATCAAATGTATTTACCAGGGCTCTAAAACTCAGAAGTGGAAGCTTATAGTGAGAAATCTTCCATTCAAGGTTTGTTTTCCTTCATTCTGAGTTGCAAAATTTCTAATTTTGATGATTTTCATGACTATTATATAGTATGTGAACTTTATTTTCTGTGAGTGAAAGTTTTTGTGGGTTTGTTTTTGCATGCTTTGTGCTTGTGTCTCACACACGGGGCTGTGGAATACAGGTAAAAGTGGCTGAGATAAAAGATATGTTTTCTTCCATAGGGTTTGTTTGGGATGTGGTCAGACCTAAAAATCCTGAGACTGGGTAATTCCTTTGAATTTGTCATCAATAACTTAATACCTCTTGTACTGCTAGACTGATTTCTTTCCTCGTCCTTGTCTCTGCAGGTTGTCAAAAGGATTTGCATTCGTCAAATTCACATCAAAGCAAGACACAGAAAACGTAAGTTGGTTGTCTCTGTAATAATCATTCACTGGTGACATTGTTTTATCCTCAATTTGTTTTCTTGTTGTAGGCTATTAAGAAATTCAATGGAAAAACTTTTGGCAAAAGACCGATTGCAGTTGATTGGGCTGTACCAAAGAAGATTTATACAGTTGGAAGTAGTTCTGTTGCTGCTACAGGAAATGGTATTTTGCCACCTTTTCCATCTCTAAATCGTAGTGTCTCTTTGCTGGAAGGTTTTTGCATGATAATTTTTTTTTTTTTTCATGAATTGCATATTTCAAACGATGTTATTCTGTGGTTAATACCATAATCAGGAGAGTTTGATACCTTTTGGATTTTATCTTGTGTTGTCATAGCCCTTGGAGACTAAATTTCACTGCAATTGATTTGTGGTTTTATAGAATTGAAACAAGATGATAGAAGCAGTATTGGATCAGAGGACAGTGATGAAGAACCAATTGGGAAATCACAAGTGGTTGGTAGTGATGACAGTGCCGATGAGTCAGATTCATCAGAGAATGATAGAAAAAGTGAAGTTGATTTTGAGGAAGAGGCAGAGATGGCTAGAAATGTGCTCAACAACCTCATGTCACGGTCTTTCCAAGATGTTTCTGAAAGCAATGTCTCAGAACCAGCTGAGGGTAAAACTGATGATTTATCTGTACCGGATAGAAAACAGTCATATGAGGCAAAAAGTAATAAGTCAACTCAAGATGAAGAAGACGAGTTGCAGAGGACAATTTTCATCAGCAATCTTCCTTTTGAAATCACGGCTGAGGAAGTGAAACAACGTTTTTCGTCATTTGGTGAAGTGCAGTCCTTTGTGCCAGTTCTTCATCAAGTAACAAAGTATGTGTTTTTGCTTTTATTATAATTATGGGTAATTATTCATTAAACAAGAAAGCCTGAAGTTCGGAGCAACTATGGCTATGTTTGATAGTCAAATAAACTAGCTTATAGCTTATTCGGTTAGCTTATAAGCTTTCTGTATAATTTATATAAAAATAAATAAATAAGATCGGGGCGGGGCGAGGCGGGTCTGGTTGGGAAAAAGGACCCGGACCTGGCCCACTTAGCTAACAGGTTGGGCCAGGCCCGACCCGTTTGAGAAATGGGACAGGTTTGGGCCGCCCCAAATTCTCCGGGTTGGGCCAGTTCGGGCCGGATCCATGTCGTTTTGCCATCCCTACTTATCAGCTAGTTGTACCAAACATAGCCTATAAATAAATACCGAGGTTTTCTAAAATTCCAAAGGAATAAAAGAACTGTGATCAGATGTTCACTCTCAAAAAGCACTCTATTTCAACCACACATAATATTATAGAAATACCATAGTTGCCCTCTTAAATTGACGGCAATCAACCTTCCAACGTTCAAAACCTCTACGATCATTTGTAATCAGTGGTCCCGTTGAGAATTTCTTTCGACTATTCATTTTTTGTACCCTAAAGATACACTTAACATGCTTTACACATTGTTACAATGTGGCATCTTTTCTATTTTTCTTCAGACGTCCCCGTGGAACTGGATTCCTCAAGTTCAAAACAATTGATGCGGTCAATGCTGCACGTTCAGCATCCAACACAGAAGGTGGTGTAGGCATCTTAATAAAAGGGAGACCTGTGAAAGTACTAAAGGCACTGGACAAGAAAACAGCTCATGATAAGTCGGAAGAGAAGGCTAAGAAAGAGGATCACGACCACCGCAATCTGTACCTGGCTAAGGTTGTCCTCATTTTCAGTCAGCTTTCTCGCTAATTGTCATCAACTCGAAATGGACCCAATTTAAGGAATTATGTTTTAGATAATCTAATTTAATTGTTGGTTGTGGTTAACAGGAGGGTCTTATCATGGAGGGGATGCCAGCTGCTGAAGGAGTTTCTGCTAGCGATATGGCAAAACGCAAGAAGTAAGTTTTAAGCTTCGTGCCTAAATATGAAAAAATGAAATATTTGAAGGCAGTGCTATCAAATGGAGCCCTCAGTAGTTTGGTTGGATGATTTGCTATTTCTATTTAAGCCTATAACAGTTTGCTGCTGTTATTTGTAGGTTGCATGAAGATAAGAATGCTAAGCTTCAGTCTCCAAACTTCCGTGTATCAAGGACGAGACTCATTGTGTACAATGTGCCAAAGAATATGAATGAAAAAGATCTTAGACAACTCTTCTTAAATGCAGTTGTCTCTCGAGCAACAAAGCAAAAACCCTCAATTCGGCAGGTTGAATGTGGTTATTATCGAAATTGGGTTTTCCGATGCTAAATATGCTTTAGAAATGCTACGTGTATATGTTTATTACCTTATTAACAATTGCATTTGTGTAACCTTTTTTTATTCACAGATAAAGATTTTGAAGGATTCAAAAAAAGCAAAAGAGGGTGAAAAGAGCCGTCCACGTGGTGTTGCTTTCTTAGAGTTCACGGAACACCAGCATGCCCTTGTAGCCCTGAGAGTTCTTAACAACAATCCTGGTCAGTATTATTTTGTTAATAACAATAATCTTTTCTTTTGTCGTTGCAAAAACTACCCTGAAGTTTGGTTACTTACGATAAAATTAAAAAAAAAAAAAGAGAAATGTAATGAGAGAATTTTTGCCTGTTTTGTAATAATTCAGAGGATACAAAGAGCTCTATTTATATACACAACTGAGAGAATAATCATATTGGTCAAATCCCTTGATTGTAGGGAATATATTCTTCCCTAGAAAACTCTACGCATGCATAATATACGCCTAACAAGAAAGGTTCTCTTGAGATAATATGTTTTTAATGATAGTAAGATTCGTTATAATTATGGATGAATCCCTGAGTTTTAAATGCTTTTCTTCTGAACATTTACAGATACCTTTGATCCTCAACACCGCCCAATTGTGGAGTTTGCTTTAGACAATGTCCAGAAACTAAAGCTTCGCACGGAAAAGCTTCAATCTAAACAACAGGCTCCTTACAGATTCACGAATGATACGCAGAAAAATGACAACACAAGCACAGTGGGCCCCACTGCAAACACGAACTCAAGAAAACGCAAGTCCAGAGATAAAGAGGCATCATCGAATGATACAGTAGGGGATAAAGCCAGGATATCAAAAGACAAACTTAGTGAGAACCCCACTGTTGAAGAAGGCAGTTTTTTGAAAAAGAAGAAAGGTTCGAAAAGCAGTGTAGCAGATAAAAAGATGAAAAACCAGAACAAAGAAAAAGGCCCGTCTAACAATGTCAATAATAAGCCAGAAATACGAGAAGAAGTCATGACTAGAAAAAGACAGGCATTCAATGTTCATCCCAAACAATCAAAAGAAGCTTTGAGAAGTAGAAAACGGGGTAAAAAAAGTGATCCGGTGGGACGTGATGTTGGTGATAAACTCGACTTGTTGATCGAACAATACCGAGCCAAATTTGCAGGGAATGACTCTGCTGAAGCTGAGGACAAGAAGCAGAGCTCCAAACGTCTTAAAAGATGGTTTGAGTCATAATTTAATGTTTATAAGCCAATGTTTACTTATATTGGCCAGTATGACAGAATTTTGACTTTACATGTTCAAGTCAGATCTGGGTTTGAGAATTGTTTTTAGTAGAGGATGAACTTAGCTTTACAGACTTCACTTGTATTTTTGTGTTTTTTGCCAAGCATGTATTTGGTGTTCAAGTGATGGAATATAGGTTGGTTCATTATGATGAATTTTGAGTTGGTTATTGTTGGTGGAATGCTTAAAAGTTCAAAACAAATAGCAAAGGAATGTAAGACAACTGCTCAACGGTTTTGAGAAGCAATACGCTAATTAAGAATTTTTTTCTTGTCAATATTAACTCTATTTAATGGATGTTATGGAAAACTATGAAGATGGGATATGAAGAGACAATGTGCATTGATGGAGGGTTAAAAATTTAAAAATATGAACAAAATAGTCAAAACGATATTTATGAAATCAATAATCTATTAAGCCAAAGTGACAAATAATAAAAATAGGAGGGTCAAAACGATATTTATGAAATCAATAATCTATTAAGCCAAAGTGACAAATAATAAAAATAGGAGGGAGTATATAAAAATATGATAATTAATAGTTAATACTATGTATATATTTTTGTTTAAATAATATGACATGTCGACTCCTTTTAACTGTTAAGTTGTTTTACACAATTTTTATTTTTTTTTTGGTACAGGGACCTTCCGGTTTCCGGATCCACAGGGAAACTGACTAATCCGGAATCGAGCCGGGTAGGACCACAAGGGCGGCAAAGCTCTCCCTCAAGAGTTTTAACACTGCTGCATTCCCAGGGCTCGAACTCGAGACCACTCGTTAAGTTAGTCTCACACAAGAATTCATGGGTTTAGGTTTAGCAAAGGTTTGAAAAATGTGTATAAATAACTACCTACCATCTTTATATCATCTCATCAGTTTTAATTTGAAATTAAGATATAATAACGGGACCTAAACTATAAAAAAGTAAAAAATTTGCTGACCTTGTCAAATATATATCCGTTAGAGCTCTTTCTCCGGCCCCACCAAAAATGCCCGTTGCCGCCCCATCTCAGCCGCTATATATCCTCTCTCCTTTCCCAATTCTCACTCATAAAATCCCACACACACACACTCTCTCTCTCTCTCTGTCTCGCTCCCTCTAAGAAATCTCCGGCGAAATTTCAATTAGCCAATTAATTCAATTAAATGGGTCTCTCGGTGGATAACGGCAGCGGCTCGGCCACCCTCACTCACAAAGTGTTCCTCCTCACCAACTACGCCCTCATCGGCGCCGCCTCCAGCTGCGCCTTCCTCACCCTCTCCCTCCGCCTCATCCCCTCCCTCACCGGCGCCCTCCTCGTCCTCCTCCACGCCGTCACAATCGCCGGCGCCGTCTCCGGCTGCGCCGCCGCCTCCCGCGGCGGATCCAGGCTCTACGCGGCCCACATGGTGGCCACCGTCCTCACGGCCATCTTCCAGGGGTCCGTCTCAATCCTGATCTTCACCCGGCCCTCAGACTTCGTGGACCGACTCAGGTCGTATGTGCGGGAGGACGACGCCGTCGTCATACTGAAGCTCGCGGGCGGCCTGTGCGCGGCGATCTTCTGCCTCGAGTGGGCGGTGCTGACGCTGGCGTTCTTTTTGAATTATTATGCTTACGTGGAGAGGAGGGGCGAATGTGGGAATAGCAATAGTTGTGGGATGAGAAGTGGGAAAGTGGGGCATGATGATGAGGTGGATTTGAAGACTCTGCCCTGGCAATTTCGAGTTTAATTATTTATTTAAAACTGATTAATGTTTTTGTTTTTGTTATTTTTGTTTCCTTTGGGTTGGCTATTATATATGTATGTGGCTGTATCTGTATGTATGTGTGTGAGGGATTATAAATTATTTGTTCATTTGTACTCTTTGAATTGAAAAAGGGATTTATGATGATTTTTTCTTCATTCCTTTACTTAATCATCTGTTTTATGTATTTCCTTAGATGGTCATACTTTGTTATAAAAAATAATTTATTATCTATAAATTGCATATAATTACTTCCGATAAAATTTAAAATACAATATTTTGAGTATAAAATGTGTTTGTATTACTAAAATATGAATTTTCCTACCCCTATAATTTAGATTGAAATTTTCCTACCATATAATTTACAAAAGCATGTTACAATTTTAGATTGAAATTTTCCAACAAATTATCTATTACCAAAACTTTGAAATAAGTTCATTTGTGTTCAAGCTTCAAGCTACAACAAAACACCTCATCAAATTCTGATTTTTTTTTTTTTTTTTTACCAAACCACACAGAGTTTTGTTTTGATTAACCTATATTTTCTCAACCACACAAGAACTTCATGTTGTGATGCTCATAAAATGTCACTAAAAAGCTCTTGAACACAAGAATAAGAGAACAGAGTCATTTTATTCAATATATATCATACAACACCAAAAACTACCCAAAGAGAAGAAAGGTCTGAATAACATGAACAGTTGTAGCTAATCTTTATAATTTTACATCCTAAATTTACCTGGTTAACTGACCGTAGATTTCACCTTACAGCCGTGTGCACTGCACACACCTAGTTTCTCACCATTGGATCAACACTCATCCATGTGATCCAACCGAGAACAACCCTATTCAAACGAGCACTGATTATTATTATTATTATTAGTAGTAGTAATAGTCGTATTTTTACACTCAAAGCTTAATTTCTCTACCGAACAACCAGCTAACGGGCACATTTCTTTCTTGCTTTGCCCTTGCATGAGCTCTCTCCTCAAGCTTTCGAATTCTACGTGCCAGACCGCAAATGTAATCTTGCGCTTCACGTCCCTCACCCGAAAGACCTGTTTTGTTTTGTGCAGTAAACTGAAGAAGTTGGCATTTTTTATTTTTTTATTTTTTTTCAACTGTGTTTATTTTCCTATTGTGACAGGAAAATGTTCTATAAATGTATGACACAATTTGATGTACAGCTCAAACTATATCCTTAACTTACCTGTCAACTTCTCGACCTCCCATCTGGCCACAAAGAATTCCAAGATATTCGCATAATCACTGGCAGTGTAGACCCCAAGTCGCTGGGCTACGGCCGAGTAATGCTCGAACAAGTCATCATCCTTACCGTCGTACATGAGATGAGCTGGCATCGTGATTTTCTTCCTCATCATGTCTGCAAGGCACAAAACTGTGCCATCTGGGTCGAGCTCGAAGAGCTTCTCGATTATCTTGGTGTAGGCCATCTCGTGTCGTTTTTCGTCCGAGGCTATGGTCCCGCATATCCGAGCCAGTTTGAGGTCCCCGTAGTTTTTGGCTAGTCGGGCCGTGTTTCCATGAGAAACGAAGGTTGCCCTTTCCTGGAATGAAGTGTAGATGTATCCGAGGTACGGGTTGTTCTCAGTACGAGGATTCTGTTATAAGTTGCATTAGTTTGAGAACGTTAAGAAAAAAAGAAAAAACGAGTTATATCTATTCCAATCACGACGATTTATGGTACACAACTGAGAATGCTATAACTAAACTCAAAAGGAGTCAAAGTATGAACACTTGTGTTTGTTTATCAATTAACGCTCAAAATCTAACTCAACTTTAGCTCAACTTTACTATCGTCAATATTATCAATATAATTAAAGAGTATTACATCAATCAATTATTCTCACACATCACATCAACTTTAATTCACTATTCAGCAACTCACATAATTTTAACTAAACATCACTTCACATCATCTCTCTCATACTTTCACGTAATTAACTTTAATTATTTTATTTGAAATATTATTTTAATATAAACTCAAAATTCCGCTAACAATTAACCATACCAACTTTTTCAAAATTATGATTAACCAAGAAAACTCGTTTTGAGCGGATATATTTATATACAAACACGCCTAAGGTACCGAACAACAACCCCATCGAGGAAAGAAATTAGCTTTAGCTTATAATTATTGTTTGTCATGAACACTAACTAGCTATAACTTCCAGACATAAATGCTTTATAAGAACTTAACTCTAACAACAAGATTCAGAGTAACACTAAGTTGCATTTTGTGTAACAACAGACCACCAAGGACTCTGCCTTTAGTTTCCAAATAACTCAAGTTTTCAGAAGCAACATTTTGCAAACAAGAATTTCACCAAGCCAACATGACTAAGATAACAAGAAAACAAAAGGGGGGAAAAAAAAAAGTCATACCATCCCTGAACCAATCAAATATTGAATTGTCTTCTCGATTTGCTTCATATCAACACGTCCCGAGAGATAAAGATACTTGTTGAGAAGATCACCGTGCCTATTCTCCTCGGCTGTCCATGCCCTCAACCAAACAGCCCAAGGAGTCGAGCTAGCACCAGTCTCGTCACGAACACCATCCAAAGTGTTTATCATAGTCTGATATGTCGGGAGAGCTTCCTCAGTAATCATGTCCCCAACTAAAACCACAAAATAGTCATCCGGGATTTCTTTTGACCTCTCTCTCAGTTCTTTTACCTCATCGTAAAACCCGTCAGATGAGGAATCCGGGAGAAAGTCGGTTGGCTGCCAGCATTTTTCAACGGGCTTGAGATGAACGAGAATGTTATTTTCGGCCCATTCGTGGAGAGAGTCAAAGATCTCGACTTTTTCAGGAGGCATTGAGTGGGTTATTTGTTCGTCGACCTCACGAGGCGGAGTGAATGGCTTTTTGGCTTTTTTAACCTCTCTGTAAATGAGGGGGAAGAAAAAAAAAAAAAAAAGCAGAGTATTGAGATTGAACTTCAGTAAAGGTTATGGCAGTAAGGATATATCAAGTGTCATATCAAAGCATAGCATATTCAGTACTTTGAATTTAAGAAGAGCATAGGCTATCATAAACCCATAAATTCATAATGTTGCTCAGCTCACAAGGAAAAATGGAAAATTGCAAAAGAGTTCATGTTTGGGAAAAGACTCTTCTTTTAGGCCAAGAATCGCTTCTTCTTCTTCAGAGTTTCCAAGCAGTCCTTCCGAGGAAAAACCAAAAAAACAACTTAATAATTGTCAATAGTACAATAATGCCTCCCGAATAAATTTAGGAGAGAAATATGTTGTTACGTTCTGTCAAACAAAGTATCCATGTTTGGCACAAGTCAACTTGTTCAGCGTATGAATTGGGTTAGCAGCAACAGCTACAAAAATATGAGCTTGACATGCCATTTTCAAATAGAGCCCAGCCCAGGTGAAATTAGACAACACAAGCCAACTTTTAACACTCCATAAATCATACAGAA